GAATTGAATGTTCCATTTCTCTACATAAAGTGGTTCCAAAAGGCGTTCCAGTAGAATTTGGCAGTACATCCAACCGTCGCTCACAACCGCAGACAACGTGTAACTACACCCCCCAAGCCCCACCAGCACGTCGCGTCCCTCAATCCCGGGGAACCTTCGCTGACTGCAGTTCGTCGTCGTAACCGACTTGAGTGGCCCAAATATCACAAGGCGATGGCATCTGGCACTTTGGAGAGGTGTTCTCCTTCAGCGGATGAATCCTGGTTTTCACTGTACAGGGGCAGGTGGCAGACAGCGTGTATGGCGTCGTGTGGGGTGAGCGTTTGCTGGATGTCAAGCGTTGTGGATGCGAGTGGCCATGGTGGGCCCCGGGTGGGGTTTACTGGTATGGGAAGGCGTGTGTTATGGAAAACAGCAGGTGTATCTTTATTGGATGGCCATTTTGAATGCACCAGAGATACCGTGACGAGGTCCTGAGGGCCAATTGTTGTGCTATTCATCCACGAACCATCACCTCCATGTGCAGCACGGCCCCAATGTTGAAGGATCTGTACATAATTCGCTGGAAGCTGAAAAGATCCCCAGTTTCTTTGCATGGCCAGCATACCAAGCGGACATCGTCACCTATTGAGCGTGTTTGGGATGCTCTGGATCGGCGTATAATGACAGGCGTGTTCCAGGTTCCTGCAATATCCAGGCAGAGGTAGTACAAGTAATCTGTTAGGCGGAGAATGTGAATTAATTCAAAGATCACTAATGTTTTATTGCTAACATCAGGTCCAGAAGGTAGGCAGCTCACCACTTCTTTTATAGTCTGGGTTCAATTTTAAACAGTAATTCCCTTCATGTAGAGGTGTAAACTTCAAGTCTGGACTTTTTCCAATTTTCGCAATATTCCCCTTTGTTGTCCTAATGTGTTGTTGATCCAAGAAGTGTTATTAGAACTGACTGGGACAGCCCTGGATTATATGGGCTGTAAAATTAAGGGGCAACAAATTATTAAACCAAGGCTAACTTCTCATAACAGACAGAAAGTAGATGGTTGCACTGCACTGGACATGCAATACCCCCACCCCGGCCTGTTCAGTCTTCTGGTGTATTTAAAAATGTGTAAGTGTTGGGCAGACCGTCCACTAGGAGGGCAGCACCTCCGCAGGCTTCAGCCAGGTTTCAGTAAGAAAACAGAAAATCTAGTTTTAATGGGATGTAATTAGATCCCCATTGAAGCAAACATTTAGGTAGGTGAAAAGCTGGCTCGTAGACAGCAGGCAGGAGGAAGAAACCCAGAGAGCGGAGAGGTGTTTAGCCTTGTGAACGAAGCCAAACGATGAAAACCCCCAGGAGTTAGATCCGTCCTTGTTCTTTGAAAATCCTGATGAAACTTCCTGTTCAACTCTTCATGATTGAAAAACATTTAATAACTCCATTTGAAATTCTGGCTGACCTTGGGGCTGCAGCGGCCTTTTTTGTTGGTCAAAGACCTGTTTAGAAAAAATGTTCCTGATCCAGTGCGCTTTCTGTGCAACGCACAAGGTGCAAAGGATTATCGGGAACAGTTTGGTTTGTGTAGTGACCATCCAAGCTCCACTAATGTTGTTAAATAAGAGGCAATAACTAAAGTATGATGTGTCTTTCTTGTAAAGTGTCTGCAAGTCATCCAATGGAAGGACCTCCTGACGCCAACCCCTCAAAACCACCGCGTATTGGTTAAAAGAGGCAGTATCTTTTATCCTTTGGAGCATCACCTCTAACACAGTTTTTAAAAAAAGACATTTCCTTCCTCTGTTCTGGGGCAGAAACAGAGAGTGTGGTGGCAACGACCGGGTCTTATGTCCTTAGATGTTCAGTGAAATCTCAACGTCCTGCTGTTTAGTGTAGTAAAGTCGTAGTGTAAATAGTGTAGTTAGAAACAGGTTTTTTTTTTTTTTTTTTTTTTTTTTTTTTTTTTTTTTTTTTTTTTTTTTTTTTTTTTTTTTTTTTTTTTTTTTTTTTTTTTTTTTTTTTTTTTTTTTTTTTTTTTTTTTTTTTTTTTTTTTTTTTTTTTTTTTTTTTTTTTTTTTTTTTTTTTTTTTTTTTTTTTTTTTTTTTTTTTTTTTTTTTTTTTTTTTTTTTTTTTTTTTTTTTTTTTTCTTTTTTTTTAAATTTTTTTTTTTTTTTTTAAAGGTTTATGCATAAAATATCCCTCCCTTGAACTAGGCTGTGTGGTTTTACAATGAACCAGGTCAAAGGCGTGTAGGTTTATTATAAAAACTGCGATTACATTTCCTCCTTTGATGAAGATGAAGAAAATAGGAAAAGTGCTACGAGAGGCACAAAGGTGTGAAATCTTAGGCCAATTGGTTGTAAAGGGCAGTGGTGATGAAGTATTGCAGAAATCCCTTTACCTACGTAGTAAGTATTATACCACACCTGTCAACACTCCTGCATTCAATACCTTACTATAAGGGAAATTCGGCAGATTTTTACCCCTAGTCTTGATGCACTAGAAGTGCCCTGAGTCTGTCGATAGGAACCAGAAACCAGAATTGGTTCTAAGTAAACCTGAGATCCTGCAGCTAATGTCGCAAGAGCTCCCAGTTAGTTATAAATACGACTTCTTGGGGTCATATTCTAAAGAGTGTTTTTGGCTCCTCTTAACAGACACAAAATGCAATTAAATGTCTGAATGCAACATGATCAGGGGGCGCCTTAAACGTGACAACAACATGGGCCTTTTCAACCTCATACGATTCGTGCGAACCGCTCGCCGTTCACCCGAAAGTCGAATAATGCAACCATGGGAGATAATGCCTTCGCAACGAAAAAATGTTTATTCGGCCCCTCAAAAATGTCCATGTCTTCAGCACACCTACTCTCCGATTTACACACTTCCTGCCAACAATTCTTCTTCGTGCGTTTGCCTCCCAAACAAGTGAAATCCCACGGGACTTCAGCGCGACACTTCAGGTAACACAGAAGAAGAAGAGAGTTGAGATCAGAGGAAAGAAGTTATCCTCCCCCCCACTGGGAAAAACGCCGACCATTTCTTCTCACAGTAGTTCAACACCACGTTATTCTTAGCTCCCGAGCTTCTTCCCTTTGACACCTCCTTTTTCTTCTTCTTCCTTCAGTTTTGGATTTTCCGGCAGTTATGAGCCCTCCCGATCTCCCACTCCACACCACACACACACACACACACAGACACACAACACACCACACACACAGACACACACACACCACAGACACAACACACACAACACACACACACACACAACACACACTGAAAGCATACAAATCACTGCCCCAACCATTCCTAATTTAAAACCGCATCATGTTTGTAGCACTTTTTAACATAAAACCACTACAAAGCAGTTCACAGCCCTTCATTATGGCTCCAACAGCAGTGGTGGGATTTTAAAAGTATGTGTACTAAAGTATTTATAAGGATAGCTTGAGTAATTTTCATTTTAAACCTAGTTTAATATTTCGACCCTCCCCCTCCTTAACGGACCTGGGGAAAAAAACTGAAGCACCCAGGAAGGGGGGGGTTAGGGAGCTGGGGAGCAGAATTTGATGACCCGGCCAGGCGACGCCCGAGAAAATCCAAAAGCTCAGCCGAACCGTATTGGTTTCCGGCCAGGGACACGGGTGATGCCCGAGGGTGTCATCGCAGGCCTAAAATCAGGAAATCATTGGAATATATTTTATTTTTGGAGCCACTTGGCCATCCACCTTACAATTGTCAAAGTTTAAGTATTTTGTCTATAAGGTGTCCTGTTCGACGGATTTAGTGCGTTTTGGAATCTCCCTAAATTCTTCTTGAATTGGGTTTGTTATCAGGACCCCCGGGGGCCACTGACAAAATTCATTAAATTTTATTTGTACAGCGTCAAATTCATAACAGAAAGTTATCTCCCAAGGACACTTTTCAAAATAGAGGCAGGTCTAGAACCCAACTCCCTTTTAAACATTTACAGAGACCAACAGTACCACGCATGAGGCAAGGCCTTGGAGACCGGGGGCACAGGAAGAACTGCCTTTAAGAGGCAGAAACCTCCGGAACAGACCCTTTATCGGGCCTCTAGGTAAGGTGAGAGAGAGAGAGGGTAATGGCAGAAGACACAAGACAGAAGGTGCACCAGCAACAAC